TCAAGACAAAAACAGCGCTGTATTTATAATACCATTACTGTGTGAATAACAATATAAATTTGAATAAATACAAAGAATTCATGTATGTAACAATTAAGCTGCCACCAATAAGCACTTTTTGACATTGCTTGGGATTTTTTACATACATTTTTTAAATTTTTCTTTAAAAAGTCTCAAAAAATATTTTGCTAATTTCTTTTTCACAACAATCCTTTCATTTTGTGATTTAAGAACAGAAAATAATCGAAAATAATTATTTAGTCTAAGAACATTTTGGAATTTCCGTCATTAATGGGATTAATTATATCAAATATGTGCATTTCGCAATGATAATTTCTTGCTTTCGATTTTGCTCGACATCAGTTTTATCGCCGGAAAATATTTCATTCGACACTAATAAAAATTGTCAATTTCAGTTCAGAAAGACTAAGAATTATAATTTATTGATAACAATCGATAAAATTGCAGGAATGATTGAATGATTGGTAAGTATTTTTTAACGCATTGAGAGCATGTGAGTATGGTTTTTAGAAAGGTTGATGACTCCTTTTTTTAGTTATAAAATGTTTTTTTTCTCAACGCTTTATTTCACTCGTCAAAGAAGAGTACGGGCCACCAAAAGGAATACGTCAGTTCTGTTACTAACTAGTTTGTAAATTATCATTTTGCGCAAAAAATTAGCAATAATTTCCTTCTGATTGTTAGAAGGGGATTAAATAAGCAGCAGCTTATACATCCGACTTAATATAATTACCGACATATTTCTATAGGATTTAAGGTGCACCACACGTATCTAATATCTACAATATGTGTTCGTGCTTCTCGTGCAATTTTTATAAGCTTTATATTTAAAGTACGTTGTATTTTTTCATTACCTTAGGATGTTATTCCTTGCACATTTTTTCTTATTTCTTCTGCATCCACTTGCAAAAAGGACTATGAAACAAAGAAAAGCAGTCTAGCGCTTTCTAAATAAATGCGGTTGATCGGTTATTAGTCAAATTTTCATCACAAAACATTCAAAATTAAAGCATTCTCTAAAAGCCTTGCTATTCATAGGAAACTTTATATGGAATGGAATCCAAGCAATAGATCCAAGAAGCAGATCGATGTGGTTCAAATATAGCCCACTTAATTTTTATTTCAAATGGACAAATTTTCATCATAAAACATTTACAATTAGAACTTTTGGGCATATAAGGATTTATATTTCATGAGAATCCTTATATCCGGCAGGGCCCAATAAATAGACCTACATATTCCAAATTCGATAGGGTTGATTTCTATGTCAAATTATTATTTTAGATCAATTTTCACTATTAAACATGGCAAATTAGAGCTTTTACCATATAATGATTCAGTTTTCGTAGTAACGGTTATATGAGAGTGCCTTTAATAAATTGCTCTATCCGATCCATATGTCTCATAGCAATTTAGACGGTCGAAACATTGTCACTCAACGATTTTTGTCGGGAAATTTTAAAAATTGCAATTTATTTTCTTAAAACAACTTTTGAAAATGAGTCTTTATATGGGGTGTGGTCGAAAAGGTGGTCCGATCCAGATAATTTTTAGTCGCGTTTATATCAATTTTCATCTAAATATCTCAAAAATTGCTGTGACTATCAATCGCTACAATGAAACCTTGGTCTATATTAAGCCCTTCTGAATGTTACATACGTCCGCACTAACTTAATATATCTTGTACTGCAAGTAGTGTAGAGCACACATATCCAAGAGCTTAAGGGAAACTTGCATTAAAATAAAAAGGCACACGCAAATTTTTGTACTTGTGTATTGTTTCAGTCTATTTAATTGCAGATTCACTAAAATAACATATCCATCTTCATCCGTTTTTCCATTTTGAGAAACAGAAATCCTAAACTCTTTTTCTTAGCCAAGTATTTTTGTTTAATTTTGAATATTGATTCAAAGACGTTGTCTTTTGTTGCGTTTTTCTTTCGCTCGTGACATAGTTTGCTTTTTTCGATGATTGAAAATTTTCCTTGGAAAAGTATATCTCCCGTACTAAATTAAAGCCATTCTCTTCATCTCTTATTGTTGCTGAAAATTCCTTGAAATAGTTTCCAGCTATGCTAAAGGTTTCATCCAATTTCATATAGGGGCCATATAAAGTGGACATCGGTGGCCAGTAGCCACTACGTAGACTACCCAACGGGTATCCATTCACAACAAATGAAGTCCATAAATCGACCAAGCGATTGGACATATTTTCGTCGGCTGGTGTGAGATGTTTCACATGTTCTGGATAAGGAAACAGATAAAGAGCTTCATCTGTTAAGGATACGCCTGCTTTGAAAGGACTCTGCGTGTTGTGCTCTTCGTCTAAATCATAATAACGATTATATTCACCAGCGTAATCAAAAGAATACAGAAAGGTACGATCGACTAAATATTTGTTGTGCATATTTAGCGCCAATAGCAGAGGCAATTTGTACATTAAGGTACTGGCTAACTGAAATGGAATTAATGGCAGATTATTCTCCTCTTGTTGTTTGTTAAACTAATGTGAATCAGGCTCACATCTATTAATCTTGGCAGAAAAGACACAAAAGTACCATTTTCTATAATTTCGCGATTAAGAAAGTTATGCGTTATAAAGCTAGTCAACAACATATTCTTATCTGTGCCCACTGTCTGACGTATTACATGATCTATGTAATTAAAACTATTGTAAGAATCATTAGGAATTACACCACCAAAATAGTTTTCCACAATATCTACATAATGAAATCATAATGACTTCTTTAATAATTTTCTAAAAAAGAAATTGCAACAAGCTATAATTTACCATATACAATCCGTGATCCGACATTTTTGGGACAACCGCCCATTACTGGGTAAGAATTATTAGTTTTGAGCATCAAATTGTAAGGATGCTCAGGCAAGAGGCCATTGGTGTCACCTATAGTGAAGTGCATGCCTCCTATATGACCAATACCTAATTCGTATTTATCTTGCTGTTAAAGCCAAAGGTGATTGAAAAGCATGTTCGAAAAGTTGCAGTACAATTGAACAGACTTACGGCGTGGTCCATGAACGCTCCTAACAGTTGCACAGGTGACATATCCATTAAACATTGATTCAAATCTCTTACGGTACGCACTTCACAATTGGCTTTTCCGGCAATTTCTTTGGCAAACCGCCGAGGATTTTCCTCTAAAAATGCCGGCATTAAAGCCGAACCTGAATGATAAATCACTTGATGAAACAAGCCTCTTTCAACCTGAAAATAATTGAAAAGGGAATGCTAAGTTGCTTCTAAGGTCTGCATTGCACTGCGCTTACCTTTGGAGATAAAGTTAATAAGTGAGCTATGCTAGCCCCACCTACTTGCCCAGCCACAGTTACTTTGCCGGCATCTCCGCCAAAATTGCGTATGAAAATTTTGATAAATTGCAAAGCCAAATGAATGTCCAAAACTCCAGCATTTCCCGGTATTTCAGCGGTTTTTGTAGATAAAAAACCAAAAGGACCTAGACGATATTGTGGTACGACCAAGACAATGTCCCTTTCAAGAAAATAATCGGCTGGAGCCTCCGAATTGCTACCCTCAAACAAATATTCGCCATGAATATAAACCAAAACCGGATACTTGCCTTTTATATTAGGCGTAGTTATCGTCATAGTTAAACAATCCTCAATATCCAAAATTTCATCTAGAGTTTGCAACGACTCAATTGAAACTATGGAAGGGCAACCAATTTTTTCAGTTGTAGCATCCTTAACATCTTTCCAGGGTTCAATTGGTCTGGGAGGCTAACCAGGTAAAAACAAATTATTTCCAAATCTTGACCTTTTATTTCCCGAAACGAACCTTAAACCGATGTTTGCTTGAAGGTGGTTCTGCGTACTTAACATCCACAAATTGTAAAACTTTTCTTTTCATCCAAGCGGTTTCTATAATTTTACCTTGTATTAAACCCAAATTTGGTAAATTTACGATGGCATCCTTTTTCTCAAGTAAAGCTAATGAAATATATAAATTTTGTAAAACCATCAGATATTTGAAGATCTGCAGCATATTTTATTTTTTTGATCTGCTGTTCTCCGCAATCATTGAAAGACTAAATTAATTTCTTTAAGACTATTTGAAGGAGTGAAGATTGCTAATTCCAGGGCAAATTTATTTTAATAGGTACAACTACAATAAGAAAAGATAATAAAAAATTATTTCGATTCAAAAGTTAATGGGTGATATCATGAAAAAATCTTAATTCTTCACGAACACAATAGAAACTCATTAATATTAATTAGGGGAATGCTTCAAATCTTAGCGGCTTATTAATTTCTTTTTATACCCACAGTTGCAGAGGGAAGTATATTCATTTTGTCAAAAGGTTTGTGACACCCACTGTGCCACTTTCGACACATTGTAAAGTGTATATACTCTGGATTAATGTTGTATTCTAAAACGATTTGAGCATACCCGCTTGTCCGTCTGTCCAGGCGTGTAATGTCTGTGATAAATATTCTCCTCGTCGCAAATATGAAGATCTTGGCTTCAAATTTGGCAAAACGTGGTTGAACGTGTTGCGTTTTAATTTGGCTTGGGGATATGATAAATCGGTCGCAGTACAACGAAAACAGAACATCTCGAGTTTAAAAAAGAAGAAGAAAAAAAATGGATTTTTCTACATTACTAATAATTCACAACAATAAAAAATATACCTAAGTTAATTTGTTTGTTAAATTGTTACTATGGTCCCATTTTCACCACAAAATATGAAAAATTAAATCACTATTAATGTGATGGTGTTAATTTGGTCAGCGTGAAATTTTCCTTTGCAATAACAAAAACACTGTATTATTATATATAAGATGAAATATTTCGTTAGCAACATTTGCGCAGCAAAATTATTAAGCACCAGCCCAAGGCATCTGATATAAATAAACGATATTGAAGACCGTAAAAGAGAGAGTAAAGAACTGAAATGAGAACATTTTATGTATATAAGATAAATAAATGTTTCTTCTTACATATATAAGGCTTTTGTGCTAGCGAAATGCTCCATCTTGTATATATATAGTTTTTGGTAAGTAGCATATATTTAAACGTATTGTGCGTATATTTACAATTTCATATCATGACATGAGTTATAAGTGGTAGGCGCGTTACCGATTTATTTCATAAGACTGATTTCCTAGAATATATTCTAGAATACTCTAATTCATCTTGGGAAAATATGCAATTGTGATATAGTGTACGTACATTAAGTTTGTGGGGACGTATACAACACTCAGAAGGACTTAAAATAGGCTCACCTGTTACTATATCGATCGATTCAAATTTATTTTCTAAATCGATTTAAACTGTCTATTTATTTTCGTGTTTAACTTATAGGTCGTTTATTTGTTATCGGTGAAATTTAGTAAACCGACGTGCTATGGCCTAAGAACAAACGCTATGGAAAATGGTTCGGATCAGTCAATGTTTTTGATCACTTTCCATAAATACTTTTTTTTGAAGTTATTATATGAAAATAAACAAGATGGTATCGATAACCGTATTGAGCGAAACGGTGTTATGTATTTAATGGTCGGTTGTGGTCTTGTAAACGTTTGATAGAACGTTACATCATATCAAGAAACTGTTAAGATTGCAAATAATCAGAATCAATGGTTGCTAACTAACGGTGCTGCTGCTGTTGTTGATGACAGAAACGCCAAAAGTCCCTTAGATTTGCTGACTCTATTCGATATAGACAAAATATGTAATGAAATGTGTATGCCTACGCGTATGTAGATATCGATGGTGCTTCGCTGTACGCCTGTAAACATGTTAAGGAAACCGTAGACAAGCAAATGGTTTATTTCGAAAGCAAACCACGCGACCTTACGGTTATGTACTTATTTAGTGCTTGCTTCTATGCATACGCCATATTCATTTCTCGAATCAAATATTGGGACTAATTAAGTTGGTTAAGAGCCATGTACAACTTTCGTCATTCGAACAATCATACAATCCAGAACAAAATTATGTAAACTTTTTGACGAAGTAAAACGAAGTGACATAATTTCACATCACTTATATAATTTCATTTTTTAGGAAAACTTTGAATTGTGAAATTGAGCTTTATGTTTTGATAAGTATCATTTTATCTTTATTGTGTATAATATATTAATACATTATCATATGAATTTACCTATAAAGAGTGTAAAATGTTTTAAAATGAATTGCAAATAAATTATAGTTTTGTCTTCTGTAAACGAAAGACAACTTTTTAATTTCCGCAAATTGGAATTATTCTATATATCTTTTATTCCAATACAATTAAATTTGAAAGTGCAGAAGATATGCCGATTTTCGCAACAATTGGGCGGTTTTTAGCGAAATATCGGCACCGTCGTCAAAATAAATTGCCTTGTATGTAGATTAACTCACCATTCCATTCTGGCTCTGATTATCTTTTTCGATTACGAAACATTTTCCATTGTGTGCGAATCTACGAATGTAATTGTGGATTCCATCCACGCATTCAAACACATCAGTTAATATTAGCAATGTTTCAATTGTCGTTGAACGTGTCACAAGAAGAAGAAAAACACAACAAGATGTTCCTTACCACCAGGAATATCAAATTTCCTATATATTCTGTCCTATAATTTCTGTTAGCAATAATACCTCACCATTCCGCGCAAAATTTTTTCCATTTCTTATAGCATTTCTAATATAGCAAAAGAAATTTTGCTCTGTGCAGCGCTTAAGAAATCGCTAGCCGTCGGCCATTAATAGCCCAGCAACTCCGAAGTAAGTAGGTCTTTCTTACGCCTTTTTCCTAAAACGTATTCAAAAGCCTCTTTTGATACGCGATATTTTTGCAGAAATGTAGAAGTATGTACCTTGTAATTTACATTATTGACAAATGTATAAAATGGTTTACTTGCATATTTTCGGGTAGCGTGAGAGGATTTCAGCGTCCCGCAAAGCCCTTCTATGTTTTACAAGGTTTCTTTTCCGCCAATCTTGATTTGCTTATATTGCCAAACATATACACATAGTATAAGGAAAGAAACCATTCTGCCTGATAAGTATATATTTCCAGGTTATTTAATGACATTTTATTTACCTTTTTTTGCTTTATTTATTAAAAATTGGCCTATTGGAGATAAGACTAATATATCCATTGGAGTGATGAGTTCTTTTTATTTGTTGCTTCTTTGCTCTTTAGCAATGGTGGCGAAGTATATGATGAAGTATGGAAACATTGATGATACACATTTTATTACAAGCTTTTACATGCAAGAGTATTAATTAGACTTTTGGCGCAAAAAGCAAAAAAAATAAATAAAAAATTAATTAACTTACCTTTCACAGACGACAATTGATTATCGCCAAGGGGCTAATCAGGTACCATCGTTGCCAGCTTTCCAACATTGCCCCTCTAATTTTTCTGCTACAATGCGTTAGTAACTGAGAGAAACGTAAAAAATGAGAGCCAAGATGACGTTTGTTGGTCTTGTATAAACAAACTACATATGGTAAACATTGACAAGCATCCAAAATGAGGTGAATAGAAAACTATATAGAATTTGACAATTGATAAAAGTAATAGAGCTAAATTCAGTGTTTACATTTTTAGGTTTTTTATTGTAAAAAAGCGTTATTATTATTTTGTAGTGTAATCGTATACGATCATACGCATCAACTTTGAAGTGCGACAGAATTATGCTGAATTTGCATCATTCTGTACCAAAAAGAAAAACAAAAATTTTGGCGCACTTCAACTGGCTCGGTATTGCATTACGAAATGCGGTGCGATGCCAGGCGCCCCAATTAATTTATGATTACGTTAGCATTAAGTCACCTATTAGAATTAAGTATAAATAGTTCGCCTCTTTAATAAAGAACTCAATTGCTATCAAACAATTCAACTTAGCGTTTAATTCGCTGGAAATTACAAGGCGTTCAATCCGCCTAAACCACAAAGATTAGGGACCGTCTCATGCCGAGCTATATTGGCAATTTGTGAGACGGAAAGACTTGGCGCACTGAAGCCGAGCAGAATAGGGATACACCCATCCTACCACAACTCTCTGTTGCAAATAAACATTATTAATATTACAATATATTCTTTTTACAGATTTTCCATAAAAATGAATGTTAATATATTGTTAGTGATTAATTCATATAAATAATGACGTCTACATCATTGCATTAAATTTCCTTTTCCATTCTCGTATGCCAAATCTTTTTTTTTTTATTCTCATATATGAGCAAATAAAAAGAAGATTCAGCATATAAAAAGGTACATTTCGTCTTTATTTAAGTTTTATGTAAATTATTGGGGAGTTGTAAGTTTACAAATTATTTGTATTTTTAACAATGTTATCTCCATAAGTTGCGTGACAGGAATCCTCTAACTTCTTCACCCAACTGCCTCAATTGTAGTGCCTCTACAGAAATATCAACACCTTTATTTTCATAGGCTGCTTGCAGTTTTGGACAATTTAACTGATTTCCTCTCATTTTTTAGTGGTAAACGTTTTTGCGATACTGCACAACATTTGCGATTCTTCCCAGATTCATTGGACTGCAGCACCTCTTTTGCTCTTCCTGTAGAATACGCAAGGGACCTATATATAAACACTGTAGTTAGATTTTCGCAATACTAAATACTTTTATATACGTCAATGCATTTTCCCACAACGTTCTTCGCCTTGCAATGGATGTCGTTGTATTTTTTTTAGAGGTTCCGCCGAACTTCAGAAAGGTATTGTTAGTCAAGGCTCTAGGGAGCATTCACAAAAAAGAAAACAGGACGTAGCTTTTTGGAGCTTTCCAATGGTTTTCTATGTAAGCTCTTTCACCAGAGTGCGTCCATATATGCGCTAATTTTTATTTCGTGGTCACAAATCTAGCAGATAATGTTTATATTTATGTAAACAAAAAGCAAAAGGTAATACACAAATATTCAGATTACTTACTACATTCCTTTCCGATTTACGAAAATTATTTCGTTTTCCGCTGACTTTAAAAAGCATATATGCGTTCCTTCAATACATCCAGTTAGTGTAATAAATAGTAAATATATTATAAGGATCGTTCATTGTAACACAAAAAGTTTAATTATTTACAGGCTGCAATATCAAAATTTCTGGTAAAAGTATACTTTCGTATCCACGTTTACGATCCCTTGGATCCATTCGCAAAATTTAGTGTCCAACTCTTGTAACACCTCTGATGCAAGTCTATAACGTGTTTTGTGCAACATTTACGGTATGGTCGTTGCAAGCCAGCCATTGGTAATCTCCTGAAGCCAACAATTCTAAAGTCATGGCTAAGCGCAATACCGCCGATTTATATGCACTCCTATACAAATTCTTCTCAAGACGTAGCGAAACGCCGCTTTGAAAACTCATTTGCAAATAGTAGAAACAATTTACTTACTCGTTTTAAGGGAGAAGTATCCCGCAAACCTTTTCTCTCACGGTGGCCCTTTCTTCTGCGTCGCGGTTTTCGTTGTTCTCCTCTTCCCTGAACGAGCATTAAAGGAAGTTACGACAAATTTTGCTGGAGATGTACACATTCGTCAACATTGTCTAATTTTATTATTTTTAAGTTCGATATTTTAAAAAAAATTGCACTTACTTTCATCAAATTTTTTTTATTTTTTCTTTATAATTCACAAATTGTAACAAAATGTAATTTCGGACACACTTTATTTTTGTTAAATTTTTTTAAATTTATGGATTAATAATTCACTTTCTAACAGCTGTGCACATTTTTCTTGTGCAGCAGTTTTTTTGCAAACTTTAAAAAAGAGATTTGTGATAGCTCTGCTTGCTTTAAACTCAATGCAAGTGCACATTTGGCGACAATCGCCAGAAAATTTGCCAACGTGATTAGATTCTCTTGGCGATTGTCGCCTGCTTATGTGATTACCCCTAGCTGTAAACAACTAATACTAACACAATACTAATACAAAGCTTGAGTGACTTGGCTTAAGCTAGTTCTGACAATTCTGAAACGGGGTTTCTCGTATCTCTTGTGCATACATATAATTGAAGAGGTCAAAACTCAAAAATAAAACCTCGTTAAGACCTTACATAATTACTGCCAATAATTAAAAGTGGCTGGTTTACTGCTTACAATATTGAATATATTCACGTATTGAAATACTATTTCTATAGTATCGTTTTCTAAGTTGATATCAACTGACTCCCTTAAAATTTAGAAAAGATTTTCATTCGCTGCATAGTAAACGAACTACTTTCGATACTTTTGGTGGGTGAATAACAATAGTGGATTTTTTGTTGCACTTGTTCGCAGTACAAAAGCAATTCTGTACAGAATTAATTTTGGTTTATACACAGTTGCTGGAATTTGGGACGGTAATTGTGTATCTAAAAATTGGCGTATGCTTTCGTTTTTTAGCTGGTTTTGTTTGACGTATGTCAGTTCCGTTTTCGGTTTTAAAAGTCTCAAACCACAATGGGCAGCCGCACTACCATATCGTTTTACAAAAAAAAAAACATATGATATGAAAGCAAACAAGCTTGCTTATTGATAAGCGATAAAGAAGATTGATTAGATATATATAGATATGTATATTAGATATATTTTTGTGTATTAATTGATCCATAATTTGGAAATAAGCATTTAACATTCTCTAATAAAACAATTTGGTGAATGTATTTAACTTTGCAATAAATTATCTTTATTGCTTGTTTTTCATTTCTTGCAAATAATGTGTGATATAAACTAAAATCGCAAATCACATAACCTAAAGGAAATGTACATTAATGTAAGATAAACATAAATTAAGTAAATAGTTTCGAAATGTAAAATAAATTGCCCTTATTTCTTCTGCATGTTGTTTTCTATTTGTTTTATTTGTATGTATGCGTAGAGAACGATTTGATTTGTCAATTCCCATAAAGCTTTGTAAAAAATCGGCGAAGTTTAAGTCCTATCCTCCACCTCAAAAATAGGAGTAACGCCTCATTGAGGGCCGACATAATGCTCTTGCGTTTTTTCCTATGCAGTAGCTATGCATAAAAAGCGTTCAGTTGTGTGGTACAGTGTGCTTTTGAGCACGAAGAGAAGATAATGAGCCTAGCAAAAAGTAACCGTAAAAACAAAAGCATGGGATATTGAAAGCAAGCACAAATGTGGTTGTCAATAATGAAAAATAAGTAATGTAATTAGTAAAGTCTTTGAAAGGACTACAATTGTGTTTCAGTATACTATCCACTCGATAAAATTGTTGCAGAGAAATAACGTTGCCGACTAGAATTCTGTCGATATTTTTTCAAGGAAAAATTTTTAAATTTTATTGCCTATGTAACTTAAAAGCTATATGTTGAACAGATTAATTGAATGGTACAGTGACACATATGAATAAAATAAAATGCATATGTCAGTTTCAAATGCAATATACTATACTCCTATGGAAGTGCAGCTGGTATAGCAGTTGCGATCGAGGACTAGGTGTCACAAGGTTCACTTTTAGATGGTAACGGTTTCGATTCCTCGTGGAGTTGCTTTTGCTTGCAAAACATATTTTCTTCTTTTGGTTAAATTTAATCAGCAATGTAAGGGGGACAGATAAACTCAAATTTAACTAGCAAACACTGGTATATACCAACTTCCTCAATGGAGTTTTGTGGATGCCCTAACAGAGCTCTGTTAAGTAGTTAGGATCAGGGTATAGTAGGATTTGAAAGCTCCGAACGAATTCAAATTTTTCTTTTCAGAACTATTTTTAACGATTTTTTGAAAATTTGTATGTCGGCACAAATCGGTTATGAAAAAATAGGTAAATTTGATACTCTAACTCGCCGAAACTGAGAAATACCGCCCATATTCACCTCCATTACCTGAGTTTATACATAATATAAAAATAACCTTCGAATGAGCTATAGAAGTTCAAATTTTTCTTAATTTCAATATTTAACATAACAATACGTAATAAATTAACTTAAAAGTAATAAATTAAAACTTAAGTTAATACATAAACTTAAATTAATAAATTAAAAACTTAAGTTGATTTATTCATTTTGAATCAATAGATTATTTCATTTAATAAATTACATTAATAAATGAACTGAACTTATAGGTTAAGTTGAGGAGAGTTCAGCATTGATTGCGTTTCGACTTCTTTCTTTTTGCAATCGCTCTTTACCGTCATAAATAAATAGATATAGAGTTTTAAAAAATTAAAAAAATATATTTAGGAGTGTGCAAGTGCGATTTGTATTATTAGCTATTAGTTGCGCCGAAAAAACTAAATTTCAAAGTTAACAACACAATTTCTTTGCGAAGTTATATAAACATAGACACAACATACATAACGTGGGAGGAAAATCGAACCGAAACAGTCGAAAAGGCAGACATGATCGATGCCAATATAAACGCTGCAGGCAAATCAAACACAGAGAAAATTCGGATATGTAATATCAGGAAAGCACCAAAAAAGCGCTAATTAAGGTTACAACATCGCAAGCCTCACGCTCGTTGAAGGATGGATTTGATACCGGATAAAGAAAAAAGATAAAGAAATTTGTTTCCGATGTCTAGAGGCAGCCCATTTGGGTAGAGATTGTCGCGGAAAGGATCACAGTTCACTGTGCAGATAAAGCGGAAAAAATAGACCTAAAGCCGCAGAATGGAAGAACGAGAGGGGGTGCATTATTTGTGCGGAGAAAGATTCGACGAATATAAACCACTTTATGGTAAGCACAGGCGTTGAAAGTTTCGCTAGAAACTTAACTGTTTTGGAAGAGCACGTAAAGAACATCTGCTCACTAGTAATAATAGCAAGGGATTTTCATAGCAAATCACTAAACTGACACTCGAAAAAGTCAATTAGAAGAGGTACTGCAGTCTGTGAAATATTAGCGTCATTAGATCTGGTTGTACTAAACCCTGGCTCCGTCCCTATTTTCCAAAGCGGAACAAAGAGCACAATAATAGACATAACTATAGCGTCGTTAATACTGGCTGATCGATGTACGCGTTGGACAGTGACAAACACCGAAATCTTAAGTGATCACTAGTACAACTATTTCGATATAGACAACGAGGCAGTACAACTAACATATAACAAGTTAACAAATTAGAACGTGCGCAGACTGAACCAGAAGGCAAGCGCAGCAGCTTTGTTGGCTAAAAAAGGCAAACCAAAGTACAATGGTTTGCGCCAGAAGAAAAATCTGAATGCTGTAGTGGCTTACGTCCAGCACAGTTTGCCACACATATGTGAGAAGTAAGCCAACTGAGCTCGGAGTATCTAAAAGTCAGAAGATAAGTGGCAAGGTTAAGAGGAAACGCAAATCTGAGAGGTCTGAGACTGAGATGGTAAAAAGAATTTTCCGAAGACATAAGCAACGATCCGTGAGGCTCGCTGAACAAAGTAATAACCAAAAAGCTTGGGCGCTGGAAGTGTATACCAAGAATTATAAATACTGCCTGGACGCAAACAATAGTAGAAGAGCTGTTCTCAGCAACCACTCATTTACCCAGGGCTGCAATAAAGTTAACAGGAGACTTCTCAGGGGATATGCTTACAGCGGAAGAAATTCACACAATATGTTGAACGTTGAAAAATAAGAAAGCATCAGGGTCTGACGAGCTCCATCCATTTCGTGGAATTTCGTGTGTGACGTGCTGCCCAATATGGAGCTTCCACGAGCAGCGAAATTGATAGGTTATGCGGATGATATCGTTATGATTGTACAGCAAGCATCGACTCCGCTGACAGGGATTGCAGTTAACGGCAGCTTCAGCCTAAGTACGTGGCTACAGATGAACAAAATGAACCTTTTCGTGCGAAAAACTGAAGCCATGCTGGCGACGGGTTTTTCAAGTGCACAATTAGACACTCCTTTCAATTTAGTTCTAAATTCAGATGACTGGAAGTGCAGTTAGATACGAAACTAACGTTGGCGGAAAACGGTTTCGGATAACGAATTGTTAACCGCAACCACTATCCGCAAAATTATGCCAGACGTTAAAAGAGTCAAACACGCGAAGCGAAAATTTATATGCAGCGTAGCCCACGCAGAAATAATGTCTGCCGCAACCATTTAGACAGATAAATTATTGTAAAGTATACAACGTAAGTCAACGGCAGCGACAACGCTCTTGGCAAAAATATTACTTATTGAGATATTATCGAAGGAGCAGTTATGTATCGATAGCGGCAAAACCGAAAGCTACTGGCGAAGGAGATTGCAACGGTGTCTGCATACGTGAGACTGCCATCTGGCAGAATATGTTAACAGAATGGCAGCAGCGATGGCAAAACGACTCGAAACTAAGGCGGACCTACACCCTCCCAAACGCAGAACAATGAGGAAACACGGAAAAGTTTAAACTTATTAGCAGTTAACGCAAACGACGATGTGCCGCATACTGTTTTTTGTCTGTCCGGCTTTGGCATGTTTGGCTTTTCACATCTCTGGAATTAGACATTAACCGAGGTAAGCTGATAGTAGTTGTATTAATGGACCATACCACCATACGAAGACAACATCCGAATCCTTAATCTCACGAGAGGATGGGGGAGGTAGAATGATATAGTGAGGAT